GAAGCAACGGGTGAGGCCTTTAGGAGAGCCCAGAAGCCGGGGTCCCAAGCTGAGGAAGGGGGTCAGTGTTGCTGGCGGCACTGGACCTTGCCCTCCCGGCCACCAACCTCGGGCTTCTGGAGTACCCTGGGTTGGGCCTTCACCAATCCGTGCTGTGCGGGTCTGGTGCTCTTCCTGGGCTGCAGCATCCCCATGGCCCTGTCAGCCTTCATGTTCCTCTACTACCCGCCGCTGGACATTGACATCTCCTACAACGCCTTTGAGATCCGCAACCACGAGGCCTCCCAGCGTTTTGACGCCCTTGCGCTGGCGCTCAAGTCCCAGTTTGGGTCCTGGGGGCGCAACCGCCGCGACTTGGCTGACTTCACCTCTGAGACGCTCCAGCGCCTCATCTCAGAGCAGCTGCAGCAGCTGCATCTTGGCAACCGCTCACAGAGGGCCGCCAGGGCCCCACGTGCCGTCTCTGCTGTCCCTCAGTGTGTCCCAGGGTCGTGGTGGGACGCCTCTGCCGCCCGGAAGCCAGCAGCCAATTGGAGCAGGCGTCTTCCACGTGAGACCCTGGCGGATCTGGCAGCCAACCAGAGTGAGGTCCGGATGGACCAAACGGCAGAAAAGAATGGACATCGCCAAGTTGGCACTCCACCCCCTGTGGTGGCCGTGACCAATCAGAGCCGTGCCCGCCGGGGGACCTCCCACTGGGACTACTCTCGCTCATACGTGAGCACCAACACCCAGACACACGCGCACTGGCGCATCGAGCTCATCTTCCTCGCACGTGGCGATGCGGAGCGCAACATTTTCACCAGTGAGCGGCTGGTCACAATCCACGAGATTGAGCGCAAAATCATGGACCATCCAGGCTTCCGGGAGTTCTGTTGGAAGCCCCATGAAGTGCTCAAGGACCTGCCACTCGGTTCCTACTCCTACTGCTCTCCGCCCAGCTCGCTCATGACCTACTTCTTCCCTACCGAGAGGGGTGGCAAGATCTACTATGATGGCATGGGCCAGGACCTGGCGGACATCCGGGGTGAGCAGGCCTGGGTGTGGCCAGGGGAGGAGCTCTAGAGGGTGGGGTTTGAAGGAACCTGGGGGTGGGGCTTGTAAGGGGCGGGGCCTGAGTGAGATGGGGAGCGGGGCTTGGTGGGGTTTATTGGAAGGCTTGACTTCTTTGGTTCTGTACTTAAGAGGCTGGTAGGAGGATAGGGAGAGACTTGGCTGTGACACAGAGTCAGGCTGGAGCTGAGCGCTGGGCAGGCCTGAGGACCATTAAGGAAGGGCTGGTAGCAAAGTGAGCCCACTTTGAGTTGGCATCCAAGGGGGGCAAAGAAAGAGATTTGGGCGCATACCTGGATTGAGAGATTGTGAGTTAGGCCGCAGCCAGTTAGAGAAAGCGTGGGGTGAGGCTTGGGCTTGAGGTTTGTTAAAGGGAAGCCTGGGTGTGGTTACAAAGAACCCGGCATCTGGTTAGAGGAAGATAGGGGCGTGGCTGGGGTTGAAGGAAGACCAAGGTGGGGTTAGTTTGAGGCAAATGGGGACGGGACTGAGAAAGGCTGGAACTAGGCCAGAGAATTGTTGTAGGGGTGGGGCTTGGGTGTGCCTTTTAAGGGGGGCATGGGTGGGGTTCTAGGCAGATGAAGGTGCAACTGCAGAGACTGAGCCTTGAAATTAGCTGAGGTTCGAATGGAAATGAAAATGTCAATTTCGTGGGAGGCCTTGGAGGGGACAGGCCTGGGAGCTGCTCCTCTTGGGCAGCTGTGAGTTCTCTAAACCATCCCTCTGTCCCATTAGGGACAGTTTGAGGCAGCCAAGAGGGAGTGTCTCAGCTCTTTAGCAAGCGGTAAAGTGGCGGGGAGGGCAGGATGACCTTGATGGAGGACTGGTATGAGCTGACCTACTGAGCTCCTTGGGCCCCCATCCCTGCCCCTGCAGGCTCCCTGGAGCTGGCCATGACTCACCCCGAGTTCTACTGGTATGTGGACGAGGGCCTGTCTGCAGAAAACCTGAAGAGCTCCCTCCTGCGCAGCGAGATCCTGTTTGGAGCACCGCTGCCCAACTACTATTCGGTGGATGATCGCTGGGAGGAGCAGCGGGCCAAGTTTCAGAGCTTCGTGGTCACCTACGTGGCCATGCTGGCCAAGCAGTCTACTAGGTGGGAGGTCCGGCAACACCCGGCATGTGCCTGCTATGTGTGTGCCAGGAAAGGGCTGTATTAAAGTCAGCAGTTGGTTTCCAGATGCTTCTTTCTCATAAGCCCCAGATCTCCCTGAAACATTTCTCCTAGGAAGTCTTTCTTCCCAAACCGGAGGCAGAGCCAGATTTAGCCTCGATGTCCCTCTGACAGGTGAAGGGTTCCTTTTCTTGATCAGCACTAATGACGAGTGGGCATGACAGCTCTGGAGGAGACAGGAAATCCCAGAACTCTTGCCCTGGAGGTCTTGGGTATTGATTTTTCTCCAGCAATGGTGCTAGAGGGCTTTCCAGAAAGAGTATTAATCAGGGAGTCAGGAGTCCCTCTCTACCTCTGATGCCCAAGGAGATAGTTCCCTACTTGAGTAATGGGGATGATGAGTCCTGCTACCCTTCTGGAGTCTAGAGAAGATGAACTTAGAGGTTAGACAGTGGGTGCTTTGGGTGGTGGGTGCTTTGGTTGCCCCCCCAAGCCATGGGATGTGTCTAAGAATACAACGGGGCCCCTCCCCACCAGGAAAGGGCACTAGATAGTTTATCAGTCCTGCTGGGCAGTAACTCCAATGCCTCTGAGTCCCCTGCCCTGACAAGTTAGCCCTGGGCACAGGAAGAATCATTCTGCCTGAAATACCCTCATTCATTCCTTTACTCATCCATTGCATTGAGCAACTACTGTAATAATCAGAGCTAATGTTTATTGAGCACTTACTCTGTGTCGAATGCTGTTCTACACCCTTTATTCACACCATCTCACTTAATTCTCACACCATCTCGGTGAGGTAGGTGCTGTTATGGTTATCTCCATTTTACAGTTGAGGAAACCGAGGCACACCACCAGTAAGTAAGTTGTCCAAAATTACAAAGCCCATAAGAGGTGGAAGGGATTAAAATCCAGGCGTTCTAATCCGGAGCCCTCATCCTTTGGGTTTTCTATGCCAGTTGCTGCACTCAGAGCTCCTCTGTGCCCTGCTGTTCCACGCCAACCCCTGTTCATCCACTAAGCTCCAACCTGGGCACCGTATCCCTGAAGTTGGATTAAATGCCCTTCTCCCTACTTCCACAGTCCCCGTCCTTCTCCCTAAGGGAGGCAGGAAGGAACATACACGGCTTTTGAGTCAGCTATATCTGGGGTCAGACCCCAGTTACTGCACTAGCTGTGGGAGTTTCACTGAGCTATTTCACCTCTCTGAGCTACAATTTCATCATAGCCTTTGTCCCTCTGTATTTTAGTTGTTTAATTCCTTGTAATCCTCAAATCAGCAACATCAATAGCCCCCAGGGACTTGTTAGAAATGCAGAATCTCAGGCTCTCCAAGCCTTTCCCAGACCTACAAGATTTCATTCAAGTTTGACAAAGGTCTGGTTTAATTATGTCTCAATAGAGTGTGAGTTTGTTGAAGTCTGGGATTGTTCCTAGCTTGTTTCTATGGGCCTACCTGCTAGCACAGTGCCAGAAACACCTTAGGAGGGATTTATCTGGGGGTAGATGGATGGGTGGATGAATGGATGGATGGAGGTGCTCTGAGGAAAGGTACTTGGCTGGGTTGGGAAGCTGGAAGGGGCTGGCTGTAGAAAGATCTTCAGGGTTTCAGATACCAACAATTGCCTCTGCCTAATAGGTTCTGCTGCCAAGGCAAAAACCCCTGCTCTGGGTAAAAAAAAAAAACCTCTCCCCCTTTCCATCCCCCTTGAGCTCCATAGAATTGGTGACTACCAAGACCCTTGTAGACTTGACTTAGTACCTTCTTTTGGATTCATAAAATCTTTTTTTATTATTCTATTATTGGTTACCCAAGAGATGGCAGCATGCACCTTGACTTATTATAGAATAATACAAATTATCACTTTTACTACTTTTTCTGATAATACTAGAATCTTAGAACACAGTTCACTGCATTTATAACCCCTTCAGCCTTTTGCATTTTTGTTGCATGCATTTTAATTCCATATACATTTTAAACCCTGTAAGATATTACATTTTCACTTTAGTGAGTCAGTATCCATTTATATTTACTCACATATTTACCTTATCTGCTGCTCTTCATTACTTTCTACAATTTCACATTTCCCTCTGGGATCATTTTCTTGGTATCTGAGCAACTCTCTTTAGTATTTTTTTTTTTTTTAGTGCCGGTTTGCTGGGGATAAATTGTTTTGTTTGCCTAGAAAACATCTTTGTTTTATTTTTATTTTTTGAAGTATATTTCTGCTGGTATAGAATCATAAATTGGCAGTTATTTTCTTTTAATACTTTAAAGATGTCAATCCATTGTGCTCCGACTTCCATCATTTCTGTGGTAAAGTCAGATGTCAATCTTTTTGTTGCCCCTTTGGATGATTGTCCTTTTTTTCTGTGGCTGTTTTTAACATTTCTCTTTGTCTTTGATTTCACCAGTCATGCTATGATTTATGCTGGTATGGTTTCCTTTGTTCTGCTTGGGGTGCACAGAACTTCTTGAATCCGTGGGTTGATAGCCTTCATCGGCGTTAGCAATTTCCTGGCTATTATCTCTTTGAATATTGCTTCTAACCTCACTTTCTGCCCCTTTTCATTTTAGGATTCTAATTACACAAATATTCGCTCTTTTCACTGAGTTGCATGTGTTTCCAGTACTCTTTTCTAGGTTTTTCTTTTCTATTTTTCTTTCTGTGTTTTGGTTTAGGTATTCCAGTTCACTGATCCACCTTCTATTGTGTCTAATCTGCAGTGTATATGGATAGCTCCTGGTCTTCCTCCCAGGGTTGACAGCCACCTCTAACCCACTTCCGCCTTTCTCTACCTGTGTCCTCCCTCTCCCCAGCAAAGTCCAGGTTCTTTATGGGGGAACAGACCTCTTTGATTATGAGGTGCGCAGAACCTTCAACAACGACATGCTCCTGGCCTTCATCAGCAGCAGCTGCATTGCCGCCCTCGTCTACATTCTCACGTCCTGCTCAGGTAGGTGCCTTCTCTCCTCCCAGTGTGCTCCTGTCTGGACAAAACCTTCCTTCTCAGGAATGCCAGAAATAGTCTCAAATCCACCATCTCAGAGCTGATGAGGAGGGCCGCTCAGAAATCACCTTTGAACCCCAGGCAGGTAGACTGAGGGCCAGAGGCAGGTTGGGCCTTACCTGAGTGTCCTCACTCCCAGGACCTCATAGTTTAACTTTTTGCTCTTTGACTATCTTTTTCTCGCTGATAACTTTGTTTTGGGGAGTCCAGAGTATTGGACCCTTGTTATGGATTATTCTGTAGCTTGTTTTACAGCCCAAGTCAGCTACCCTTTTGCCCCTCGGTTTACTTTTCCAGTGCCGCCTTCCCATGTACCCTAGCTGCTTTTTACTACGGGTACCGTAGGTTTTCTCTATTGCCCAAGTGAATGAGACATTGGTAATATCTTCAAAAATGGAAAAGACATCCATTCATCTATGTAACAAATATTAATTGGGCACTAGCTATGTGCCAGATGCTCTAAGGTGCCAGGGATCCAGTGATAAACAACACAGACACACTTCCTACCCTCACAGAACCTTTGCCTCCTGGGGTAACAGATGTTAACTGCATGTTTAGCATTTCCTATTAGCCCTTGAGGTAAATTCTGTAAAGATGAGAGCCCATGAGCAACCTGCCTTTCTCAGAGATGGCTTCCTCTGCCACTTGGGCCTCTGGCCCAGGCCTTCTCTGGGCATGGAGACCTGTGCCAGGCACAGACGGGGTAGTGAAGGGTGCTTCACAGTGGGGGGCAACTGGGAGGCAGGACCGAGCTGGGCTCAGGGACACTGCAGGGTGTGTGTGTTCTGCTGGGTGCCCCCACTGTATGCCTTGTCTCCTTGCCCCACCCAGTGTTCCTGTCCTTCTTTGGGATCGCCAGCATTGGCCTCAGCTGCCTGGTGGCACTCTTCCTGTACCACGTGGTCTTTGGTGTCCAGTACTTGGGCATCCTCAACGGGGTGGCTGCCTTTGTGATAGTGGGCATTGGTGAGTTGCTTCTATTGCCATAGCAGTGGGCTTCCTATATGAGAACTCGGCGCCCAAAAGGGCCTTCTCCCTGGGTGTAAAGCTTGGCTTTCATGGAGGTTCCAGAAAGTCCCTCTCAGACCTTAGAGCCTCCAGAGCGTGGTGGTGGGTAGAGTATATACAGTGGGCAGATCCTTAGTGTACAGTGCTTAGAGCCCCCAAGGGGTGGAAGGAGCAAGGGCGGATATGCTGTGTAGAGGTTAAGGTTGGTGGGAAAAGTCTAGGAAAGGTAGGAAGCAGGCTAAGATTTGGAAGAAGGAGCCTAGTTCTGGGGATGGGGTGGGGCCAAGGAGCATGGTGGGTGGGGCTTGGATTCTTGGTGGGTGGAGCCAGAGTCGGATGTGTCTTTCCACATTCCAGGCTGAGAAGCAGGGCTCCCTTGGAGCCTGACCTGTCAGGGAGCCTCAACAGGGTTGGTCTAGGCCGAGCCTGGGCCTGGTCTTGGAGCTCGTAGAGTGATCCTGAGCCTGCCCCTGCTGGCACGGGACTCCCTCCCCTAGGTGTGGACGACGTCTTTGTGTTCATCAACACCTACCGCCAGGCCACCCACCTGGAAGACCGACAGCTGCGGATGATCCACACCATCCAGACGGCGGGCAAGGCCACCTTCTTCACCTCCCTGACCACGGCCGCCGCCTACGCAGCTAATGTCTTCTCCCAGGTGGGAGACCGCCCTCTGTCCCTGTCCTGGCCTCTCCATTCCCCCCCCCCTCCGTACACACCTGGCCTTTGGTCTCTGCTCTTCCCACACACCCCTTCTCTTGTGACCACACAGCCTTTGCCTCAGGCACTCACTGTGTCCCTGGGGTCCATTTTTGTTCCCTATCACCGCTATCAGAACGTAACAAGTGGAAAAATTTTAATACGCATAGTATTTATTATTTATGCTTGTGAATATAAATATAGTAACCCAGCATCTGCCCTGAAGGCACTTGGCAGTTTCCCAAAGCTCTTTTGCATTCAGGCCTCGTGACATACTTATGACAAAGGTATCATTACATCCCTATTTTCCTAAAATAGAAACTGAGGCCCAGAGAGGGAAAGTGACTTTCCCCAGGTCACACAGATGGTAAGTGGTAAGCCTAATCGCATCTCCTGACCTCTGAACTCTTTCCACCCAGTGGCTTCACACTGCATTGTCATCATACTGCCTTTCCTCTCGCTGGCCCCATGCTCCTCCGGCCTCTGAGTTGGGCTCAGGGGAAGGATCTAAGTTTGGTCCATGTCCTTGGTGCTGATAGAACCTGCAAGGCAGTGAGCCTGCCTGAGTCTTTGAGAGATTTTTATGACCTGGGCTGAGTATCCCGCCTAGAAACTATTAAATGTGTTGGGATTACCCAGGCCTTCCTAGAGAACCACATCCAGGAAACAGGCAGAGCTGGGTTCAAATCCCACCTCTGCCATTTACTGGCTGTGTGACCTTAGGCAGGTCGTTTAACCTCTCTGAGCCTCACTTTCCTCATGGCTGGATTATTCAGGGACTGAAATGAGAAGATGACGGCGAAAGTGTTTCACAAACAGGGAAGACTTGTCTGCCTGTTGGCTACAGTTTCCTCCTGACTGCTACCCCTGTGCAGGTCCCTCCCCGCTGTGACATTTCTAGAGCACACCCATCGCTCCAAAGCTCCTGACTCCCTGCTCCCATCCCATGGCAGCATTCTCTCCATTCCCTCTCACTAACACATGACCTAGTCTAATGTCTCCCTCTGTCCCCCAGTCATTTACGTCAGGACAGTTTTCAGGCACTTGCTCTGTGCCGGGCACTGTTCCGGGCTGTGAGCCACAGTGTAGACAAGAGCCTCCACTCCTCCCCTGTTGTGTCCCCCAACCCTGGCACCAGCCCCTGCCTTCTGATGTCCTCCTGGGCCAGTGGCTGGCAGCCTGAGCCCTCTTATCCTGCCTCAGTGTCACTGTGGTTTCAGGTCCTGAGTGCTTTGGCTGCAGAGCCTGTGGGCTCCTTCAGCTCCAGGCATGACCAACCCCCCATCCCCCACTCTACCTCTTCATCGCCAGATCCCGGCTGTCCATGACTTTGGCCTGTTTATGTCTCTCATTGTGTCCTGCTGCTGGCTGGCTGTGCTCTTCACCATGCCTGCTGCCCTGGGCATCTGGAGCCTTTACATGGCACCACTAGAGGGCTCCTGCCAGACCAGGTGAGCTGGGCAGGCCGGGGTGGGGGTGCCTGGCCTCCTCCCACTGAATATCTCTAACATGGCCTGGTGATTGGTTATTGAGCCCCTTCTGTGTGCCCAGTCCTATGCTGGGCACTACTGGGGGGCAAGGAACGGAGAAGAGAGCCCTGTCGGGTGGTTACCATTTGTGACCACTTGCTGTGTGCCATCCCCCCCGAGCCCACCCGAGCCCCAGGAGCCTGAGAGCTGGGTCCTTTCATTCTGCCCATTTTACAAATGAGAAAACATGGGCTTGGAGACGTTGGTCAACTTTCTCAGTGTTGCAGATTCAGTAGGCAGCAGAGCCTATTGAAAATCTGATTCTGTATTGTATGCTGTTAGCCGCCATGTTAAATATCCTCAAGGTTCTTGTCTTGGTGGAGAAACAATATTTAGACATAGTGAGCCATGTACAAAATTGAACGGGTCAGTCCAGAGTTGCTGCCGGAAGTTGAGGGACCAGGGTCTCGTGGGCCAGTGGTCAGGGGAGTGAAGGCAGAGTAGATAAATGTAATCTGGCCTGGGTGGCTGCCTGGGCTTGGGAATACTGAGGAATGACGGAGGGCCTCGGGCTTGAGGCAGGGCACCCAAAGGCAGAAATGTCAGGGGTCTGTGATGATGTCCACCTGACTGGTGAGCCAAGGAGGAGTAAGAGGGACACAAAAGCCCAGCAAGGAGCTCAGGCTTGGGCCCGGGACTGACCTCTCAGCTCTCCCACTCACACCCTCCCTTCAGGGCCACCATGGTTGGTGGTGAGGGCGAGGCACTGCCATCTACACTGTGAGCATTCAGATTTGACTATTTCTGTGACAGTTTTATGACACAGAAGCAAAATGTCTTGGGGAAGGGAGCCATTTTCTAGTCTCTCCAGAGACATCACATAAGCCCCGCCCCACCCCCCTGACCCCCAGGGTGGGGCCGTGGCTGCAGCAGCCTCCCAGTCCTGGGCGGCAGCCTCAGCCTGTTTGCTTGGCAGCTGTGGAAACTTGGGTCTATTCCTCAACCTCTCTGCGCCTTAGCTTCCTTTTCTGTAAAACAAGTGTAATTCCTGTGTAGGATTCCTGTGAGGATTAAGTGAGAGAATCCACATGGGGCTTCCAGCTTGTGCCTGGCTCACAGCATTCATTATAATCGCCGTGTGTATTATTCTGGTCCCTAGGGTGGGCCTCGTCTTCCCCACATTCACTCCAGTCAAGGCCTCAGCTACACCGCCTACACCCTCAGCTCAACCTGTTCCCTCCTCCTTCTGGTGTCAGAGCCTTGGGGCCGCATGACAGCAGAGGCATGAGTCCTCTGCTTTGGTCACCTTGGTGCGTGGGGGGACGCTGTGTTGCCATCCCCTCTCCCTGGGTAATGGCTGCTGTCACCATTTGTCTCCCCAGAGGAAGAGTGGCTCCCAAGGGCCCTGGGGGGAGATGGCACTGGAAAGAAATCAGGCGCAGACTTCTGGAAGTCTGTGTGAGATGTCAGTGTGACACCGGGGTTCCAGAGCCCTGCCCCGCCCTCCCCGGACACCCAGGACCCTCGGGGCTCAGCCTTCTCCCCCGCTTTCTCCATAGCTGCCACCAGAAGTGTGGCCGCAAGCGTTCCCTGCACTTCCCCGGAGATGTGTTTGCCACTCCCGAGCGGGCTGGGGGCAGCCCCGCCCAGGGCCCCATGCCCTACCTGGACGATGACATCCCCTTGCTGAATGTGGAGGAGGAGCCAGGTGAGACCTGGCGAAGGCCTTTCCCTAGCGAGACCTGGGGGCTGCCTCTGTCGGGGGAAGTAACTCTTACAAGATGGTTTGAGGACAGGCGAGGCCTGAGGCCGGAGGGCGGGGGGGACCGGGGGGGCTGGAGGAGATGCTCCAGGGGATCCCCATCAAGCATTCGGGCTCCCCTAGAGAGGGTGGAGACTGAGGTGGGCTTTGACTCGGATCTGGGCCAGGCCTCTGACAGGCCACTGCTCTGCCCTGGCAGTGTCTCTGGAGCTGGGCGATGTGTCTCTGGTGTCTGTGCCCCCAGAGGGCCTGCAGCCCACCCCCGAGAGGGCCAGCCGGGGTCAGCTCATTGCTCAGCTGCAGGAGCTGCTGCACCACTGGGTCCTGTGGTCGGCCGTCAAGAGCCGCTGGGTGATTGTGGGTAAGTGGCTTCCCACCCTCCTTCCCCTCTGTCTTGCAGCTTCTACCCAGTGTCTGAGCGTAGGGGACAGACTCCCCCAAAGAACGTATGGGCATTGGGAGCCCACCCCCTCCTGCAAATGAGCTAGAGGTCAGAGCCCTGGGTTGGCACCCCTCACTCGCTCTGAGCCTCACTTCCTTCCTGTGTGAAATGAAGCTGGCCCCCAATAGCTTTTGTTTATTGAGCACCCACTATGTGCCAGTCATCATGCTGGGCAGTAGAGCAGAGTGCTTAATGCTTGAACTCTGGAGTTAGATGAGTATGGTTCCCAATTCTACCATGTGCTAGCTGTGTGACCTTGGCCGTGTCCGTCAGTCTGAGCCTCGGTTTTCTAGCCTATGATTGAGGGTAAGAATAGGCTCTATCTCATCAGGCAGCTGGAAGGAATGCCTTAGTGCATGTGAAGAACTAAGCCCAGTGCCTGGCACGCAGTAGATGCTCAATAAACATTAAGTCCTATTATTATCATTATCAACAGTATTGAGGGTTGTGTACAATCAAGTGGATATGCCAGCTCTTTATAAATTGTTAAGTGCTCTAAGATGATGGCTGGTTCTTGTCCAGTAGTGTGCGTTTATAGCTTATAGTCTGATTCCCAAGTGACACACATAACAACAGCCAACCCTGGAGGACCGATGCCTCGCAAGCTTCACCCACAGGCTGGCATGCTGGGCCTCTACCCACTCCTGTGGGACCCTCTCCCTGCTGAGCCCCATAAAGGGAACAGCCGTTTGCCAGGGGTCTGGAGGCATCACCTGGGCCCCAGCCCTTCCTAGTATGGCATCCTTTCCTCGCAGGGCTCTTTGTCTCCATCCTCATCCTGTCCCTGGTGTTCGCCAGCCGGCTCCGTCCCGCCAGCCGGGCCCCCCTGCTCTTCCGGCCCGACACCAACATCCAGGTGCTGCTAGACCTCAAGTACAACCTGAGCGCTGAGGGCATCTCCTGTATCACCTGTTCAGGTGAGGGTTTCTAGCAGAGGTCCCCTGAGGGCCCCTGTTCTCTTTGGAGTCCAGGTCTCAAAGACTGTTGGCCTGAAAGATACCAGACCCAGGTTCAGTGTTTCCACATTTCATTAAACACATAATGGTTGTCAGCTGCCCTGGTTCAGGGGAGACTGCAGTGGGTGGGACAGGCTTTCAGAGCTCAGAGTTCATTCTGCCACTCGCGGCCAGCCATTATAGTAGTAGAACTGAGCTGTGATGGAGGAAAACGGTGCCTGGGGAGCTCAGCATCATGGAGGGCTTCCTGGAGGAGGTAATGTCTAAGCTGAGACTTAAAAAAATGGGGAGGAGTTAACCAAGCTGGGAGGTTAACTTGGCTTGGAGGGAGAGATGATAGTGGCTGGGGCCAGTGCGCTCATGGTGGCAGTGGAGTCACGAGGCATTTAGGAGGTGAAATCCATAGGACTTATCCACAGTGCATGTCAGAGATGAGCAAGGACGTGAGATGTCTCCTTGCCTCAGAGGTGGGCTGGGCTAGGCCCTCATTTTACAGCGGGGAGCCTGAAGTCAGGGTTGGGGGGGGAGGGGAGTCAGCCCAAGGTCATGCAGCTTTGCCAGGGCAGTTAGAAACCAAATGAGAAGATGCGTGGGCGAGTGTGCCCAGCTCCTGGGAGAGCCGCTGACTGCTGTAATTGCCTTCACCTAATTAGGGCGGTGTTCAGATTAACTTGGCCTTCCCTTGGTAACGGCGTTAACCAAATGCATGATAATTGACTGCAGCTCAGAGAGGTGCCCGAAGAGCCCCTCTTAAATTGGAGCCAGCCCCAGCCACATCCCCAGCTCCTCTCCCGCCAGCCTGGGCATGCAAATTATGCTCCATTATCACTGCAGCTACAAGGGCTCCTGCTGTCCCTCAGGGCCTGGGGACAAAAAGCCGCCTCCATTCCCATTTCACAGGTGGACAAACCCCAGGATGAGCCTGGGGTTCCTGGAAACACCTGGAGCACGGCCAGGACCCCAGCCAGAGTCCAGCCCCCAGCCTCCTGTATCTCTTAGCTCTCTGAACTGCCTCTTAAAGGGAACCCCTCAGATTATAGCAAAAAGAGCTTCATTTTAGGAGCAGACAAGACCGGGTTCTAACGGGGCTTTGCCTCTCACTTGCTCTGCAGGTCACGTAACCTTCCTGAACCTCTGCTTTCTTCTTTGTCAAGTGGGGTTAATAATAATGACCTCCTAGGATTATTGTGAGGATTACCGTTTTGAAGGTGTAAAATTTCTCTCATTAAAAAACCAAAAACTCATCTACAATGCTTTGGCAAAGCAGGAAAGTTTCCCATCCCCTGTACTAGCTGGTAACATTCCATTTCTAATTGCTCCTGTTTACGGAGCATTTATCACCAGCTCAGTGGATAAGAAACAGTGTCCCATGTGGTCCTCAGCTGCCCTCCGGCGGTACTGTGTCAGTCCATTTGACAGGAAGGGAGCGAGGCCTGGCGACTCTGAGGAGGGAAAGTTTCCGAGTGTCTCTCTCTGGCTGACAGGTTGCCTTTCTCTTGCCTTCAGATGCCTGTAAATTCAATATTTGATGTTTTATTCGGTTGCGCTTAATTTCTTTCAGACCCCTGACACTCCCTCTCCCCAAGCTGAGGGCCTTGGGGACCGTGTCCCTGGGGCTGTCACCGATCCCAGCCTGTCCCTGACGCAGTTTGGGGGGTAGGTCTGTTCCAGGAGAAGCCCCACAGCCTGCAGAACAATATCCGGGCGTCCCTGGAAAAGAAGAAGCGAGGTTCAGGGGTTCCGTGGGCCAGCCGGCCTGACGCCACCCCGCAGGGTCAGTGGGGAGTGTGGTCTGGCTGGGGAGGGGGGCAGTGTCGGGGGATGCCTGCCTGGTGCTAGGGTGTGGGGGCCCTGTGAGGGGAGCGGATTCAGTTACGTGAGAACAAGAACCCGTAGAGGGGTTGGATGGGGCGTGAACTTGGTGAACCTGGGCCCTGTCCCGCCAGCTCTCCCCAGCCAGAACTTTGGGGTCCCCTCCTGCCACCACTCCAGCCCAGCCTGTGGTGCCCCAGGAACCGGCCCTGAGCACCAAAGTCGTTCTGGGTGGGAGAGGGCAGGGGGGTCCTGAACACTGGGGTCTCTATCAGAGGTGGGGTGCTGGGACACATGTAGGAATTAGCTCCCCTATGGGGCAGTTCTGTATGATTATCGTCACTCCATCCACGCCCACCATTGTTGTTACCAGCACCAGCCCCACCATTCACACTGTGCGCCTGTCATTGTCACCACTGCCGCTACCCTAGTCCGTACCAACACATCTTCAGCACAACTTCCACCGTTGCTGTCACTCCCTCCACCCGTGCTGCCACCCCAAACCGGCGACCATCATCACGTCCCCCTCTCTCCATGCGGCCACCCCATCCTGGTGACCACTGCTTCCCCACCACCCATGCCACCACTCCATCCTAGTGCTCACCATCACCAAGGCCAGGGCTCAGGTCCTCAGTCAGCAGAGAACGGACTGCTCCAGGGTCGGGGGAAGCCAGTCGAGGTGACTGTCCACCCCCATCCATCCTTCGTCTGTCCCCATAGACTCCCCAGGCACCGTGTACGTCTCCAAGGTGAAGAATAAAGGCCACCTGGCGGTCTACAGGTTCTCCCTCAATGCCAGCCTGCCTGCCCCTTGGCAGATCGTGTCCTCTGGGGACGGGGAGGTGCCCTCCTTCCAGGTGAGCCTGGGCTGTCGGGAAGTGAGCTGCCGCTACCGGGGGAGAGGACCCTCAGTGCTGCTCTGGTGGGCACTGGCCATGCAGGGAGGGGAAGGCCGGGTCTGTACGGCTGGAGCTGCTGCAGGCAGATGAGGACCCTCTCCCACTGTCAGCCAGGCCTGTGGCAGGGCCCTGCAGAGTGGGGAGAGCGTGGGCTTCCACGTCAGCCAGACCTGGGTTCGAGTCCTAGCTCTGCCGTTTACAATCTGTGTGTCTTTGGGCAAATTACTTAATCTCTCTGGGTCTCAGTTTCCTCATCTGTGAAATGGGGATATGAAAAGTACCAGCCAGGGTTGTTGGGGGGACATGAGGTAAGGCCTGTGCATGACATAACATCTGGAGCACAGCAAGTGCTCAATATAAGGAAGCCGTTAGTTAAGATTGATGTTCTTGCAGCTGCTCCAGCACCCCAGAAAAGAGCCGCTGAGGGCAAACCCAGGCCTCTACTTTTTCCCTTGCAGGAACCATTTGTGTTTCTTTAACATGTTACACCCTCCAGGGTGACACACATGTCAGCACATTTGCTCAGGGTTTTTATTTCCACTTGAAAGATGAGGTTTCAGAGGCGTTTCCTGACTTTGGGCCTTTGCAGCGCTGTTTCCGCCGCCTAAAAAGCTTTCCTTCCAGCTTCACGCACGCTGACCCCTCATTCGGGCCTCAGCATGAATGTCACCTCCCCGTAGAGCCCTGTCCTAAGCATCCTTCTCAGTTTGCTCTCCACTTCCTCTGCCCATTTACCCTTTGTCTTGCCATCCTGATGGTTTGATTCAGAGCCCTTAAAGGAAGCAGCGCATGTGATTGGCAGCCCAGGAGGGCAGGGACCAAGCCCGCCTCGCTCACTGCTGTATCCTCATTGCCCAGCTCGGGGCCTGGCATGGAATCAGTGCTCAATTGAAGGAAAGGCTGAGGCTCAGAGAGGGAGGGCAGGATTTGCTCTATCTTCCAACTCGAACCCAGGCCGTCTGAGCCTCTGCCCAGGGCTCTGTCCCCGACTCTGAGAGCTGGGGCAGGGTGGGACACGCCGAGGAGGGAGGGGATGGAGCCTGAGGCCGGGCCCAGGCCAAGGCAGCCTCCCGGAGTCACATGTCTTGTCTCTGTCGATCCACTGCTTAGGTATATAGAACGCCTTTTGGTAACTTCACCAAGAAGCTGACCGCTTGTATGTCTACAGTAGGGCTGCTCCAGGCGGCGAGCCCCTCCCGCAAGTGGATGGTGACGACCTTGGCCTGCGACGCCAAGCGGGGCTGGAAGTTTGACTTCAGCTTCTACGTGGCCGCCAAGGAGCAGCAGCACACCCGGTAACAGAGCCTTGCAGACAAGCCTGTTTCCACCAGCCCAGCCCCCCTTCCCTCCTCTCTCTCTCCCCGTGAAGGCCAGCAGGCACCTTTAAGAAACCCGTGTCCATGGCCACACGTCTATTCAGATAGTTCTGTGCCCAGGACAGGGGAGTGGGAGACAGCGGCAAAGATGAAGGCCCGTGATCCACACCCCGATCCGCCGCTCTCCCTCTCCATGGGTCACAATGGCCACCTTGCTGTTCCTCAGCATGACAGGCAGTCCCCACCTCAGGGCCTTTGCATTTGTCATTCCCTCTGCCTCAGATGCCCTTCCTCAGCCCCTCAGGTTGTTGACTTCTCAAAATTCAGGTCTCTGCCCAGCTGTCCCCTCCTAGGAGGAGCTGTCCCTCACCAGAACTCCCTCCCCCATTTAAAGCAGCCACGCCTGACCTCTCTCCTTACATCACCTCACTGCTTTCTTTCTGGCCCCATCACCCCCTGGAATCGTACTGATCTGCTGGCTCGTTCCGTGGCTTCCTCAGGAACATGGACGTATTTCCTGAGGGGGCGCCGTGGCTAATTTCCATGCCGTGTCCCCAGCACCTAGCACAGTGTCTGACACTCAGCGGGTGCGGAATGAAGGAATGGGTACACTCTGCCCTTCCTCACCATGGCGCTTATCCACTCTCAACATGTATAATTAATTCAGAAAATATTTACTGTCCTTCCTCAGACTGTAAGGTGACAGGAGAGAGGCTGTCTGTTCTATATGCTGTGCTCGGGCCCTGCCCCTTACCTGGCACGAAGTACGCGCCCCAAAATACTTCACTGCATTCTGTGCCTTGGGGAGGCGGGTCTGAGCCAGCTGGGGGTGTCTTGGTGTCTTTCCCCAGGTTTCATCCCCCATGTTCAGCCAGGGCCCTACATTCATTTAGCCATTGAGGCCATGGTAGCTGAGGATCTACTCTTCCATCCATTTATTCATTTCACAAACATTGAGCACTGACTGTGTGCTGGCACCATGCCAGAGCTGGACAGTAAACAAGACAGATGTGCATGTGTCCTCAGGCTGACTCGCAGGAGACAGCAGCTAACAAGTCACCCGCAATGTCATTACAAATTACGATACGAGCTCTGACAGAAAGAGCCAGGCTGCCATAGTCTAGAAAATAGCAGCTCGGGGCCCTGCACTGGTGACACATGGGCCTGTGGTCCCTGTCAGGGCGTCACCTGAGGACATCCAGCACTGCGTGAGGTGGAACTCTGCTTGGGGCAGAAGGGTGTGGCGTGGAGGCAGTGGGGTGACCAGGACGGGCTCTCTGGGCCCTTCCAGCCTGGTGCGCCTTGGCTCGGGGGGTGGGGGTACCTCTTGCCTGCCCTCCCCTGAACCCAAGGCTGGGCTTGCTCTGCACATACACAATAGCAACTGGAGTCAGGCTGCCCAGATGAGCTTAGAACATTCTAGAAAGAAACTTGAGCTACATCAGGTCCATTGGTGAGCAAACTGACCATAGACCCTTTCTTCAAACAGAAGCTTGAGTCTGCATAACTGTTCAGGTTGAGGCGGGGCTGTGGGGGGGCCTCTAAGCAGGGACCCCCAAGGATAGCCCTGGGGCCCCTCTGTGAATTCTTGCACCACCTGGAGGGCAGTTTGAAAACTGCTGGCCTCCTTTAACCCACTTGCCACAGGTGGGGAGACAGACTCATGGAGGGGAAGGACCTTGATCAGGCCCATACAGTGGCCTTGGCAGGGGCCGAACTAGAACTGGCCTCCAAATACCAGTCCCCACCCAAGCAGAGAACAAATCCCCAGTCCAGCCCCTGCACATGCCACACCTGCCTCACCTCCCTGACTCGTTCTGGCCTTGCCAGCCTCAGCCCTGGCCTCCCTTGCCTCCACAGGAAACTGTACTTTGCACAGGCCCACAAGCCGCCTTTCCACGGGCGCGTGTGCATGGCACCTCCCGGCTGCCTGCTCAGCTCCAGCCCCGACGGGCCGACCAAAGGCTTCTTCTATGTGCCCAGTGAAAAAGGTACACGCGGGGAGGCCTCAGTGGGGTCTGGGGGGGAGGGGCTGCACCCTGCTCCTGGTACAGCTGTGACTCCCCTTGCAGGGCCCAGGGCCCGCCTCTCGGCCACCTTCGGCTTCAACCCCTGTGTGAACACAGGCTGCGGAAAGCCCGCGGTGCGGCCACTGGTGGACACGGGAGCCATGGTCTTCGTGGTTTTCGGCATTGTGGGCATCAACCGCACGCGGCAGGTGGACAACCATGTCATTGGAGACCCGGTATGTGGGCCCCCTTTGAGCAGATGCCAACTAACTGGACTTGCAAACAAGTACCAGCCCGAGGGCCACCCTCTCAGCCCTCCACATGCCCTCAACCAGACCAAACAGGATCCCCACTGGCCCCTGGGTATTGTTTCTCTGGAGGACTGAGAGGGGTTGAACTCTTAGACTCACCCAGGAATCAGGACATTTGGGGCCCGAGCTGGCTGCCCCTCGCCATTAGGAGCTGGGACAAAGATGAGGGAAAGACACGTGTGTAAAACCATCCATCCTTCCTGCTGCAGGAGGCCCTTGCTGTGTGCCTCGGCTGTGGGGGCCCTGCCCTGTGTGGTCTTTCTCCCTTTGTACGTGTTTGTGTCCTACGCTGGGTTCTTGGGTGTTTGGGTAGCTGATGGAGCCATGATTAGGTGTGTTCCTGGCACTTAATGGGTGCTGAGCGTGTGGTAGGAAGGATTGTGGGTGTAGGTCATGCCCCTGCCTTGAGAAGTCGGTCCACATGGGAGTCCAGGATCAGGCATGAGGTAATTGGGGAGCCAGGTGGAGTAGAAGGACGTTTCTCTGTTCATTCCAGACCACGAGTCCGCAGGTGTTCAGGGTAGGGATGGGAGGCCGGGGGGAGACAAGGTGACGCTGGAGGACAGGTAGGATTTGGCTGTGCAGAGGGAGAGGAGGAAGCAGGAAGCCCAGGTGAGTGTTGTGAGTGAAAGCAAGGACATGAGACCAAGGGGGCTTGTACAGGGTGGCGGGGGGCAGCGAGGGGACAGAGGTGCCGCTGAGGGCAGGCAGAGTAGGGTGGGGACCACGGGTGGCCACGCAGAGGGCTCAGCGTGATGGCAACAACAGTAGCAGGGAGCTGCTGCAGGTTCCTCCCCGGGGTCGGGACCTAGGACTGAGTTCCTGACTCACTGAGCGGCCTGCACTGGCTTGTGTCTCCTTGGGAAAGGGCAGCGTCATCTATGACAGCAGCTTTGACCTCTTCAAAGAAATTGGGCACCTGTGTCGCCTCTGCAAGGCCATTGCCGGGAACTCGGAGCTGGTGAAGCCAGGCGGGGCTCAGTGCCTGCCCTCAGGTGTGTGGAGTGAGCCAGTTCCTCAGAGTGAGGAAGGGCTGGGGGGACTGGGGTCCAAGGATGGACAGCTCTGAGGACACTTGTGCCCGGCATGTGGGTATCTGCAGAAATGTATCTGCGCCTGAGTGTCCACACTGGGGGTGGGGTGGGGGTGGGGGGGAATGTGCAAACATTCACATGTCTTTCAGAAGAAAGCAGGCTCGTGCGTGAGCATGAACTGGCCCAGAGGTGCCCATGGAGGGAACATGTACATCTGCAGGAGTAGTTTTTCCACAGTTGGGAACAGGGGCTGACCCACAGGTGACCTGGTGAGGTCATGCCAGGGCTCTCCCTGAGAGCACAAGATGTCATCTCCACCCCATAGCAGATGGGTGTTGTAGGTTCCCAATGACATTGCCAATGGCTACACACACCTTTTTTAAATTTTATTAAATGTACCCTCCCACACTCGCTCACAGACGGGTGAGTACATATGCACGGTGGGCTGGGGTGGGGAAGGGTGCTCTCCCGGGTCCCCACCACGACCCCCCTCTCTCCTCCTCCCTACAGGCTACAGCATCTCCTCCTTCCTGCAGATGTTACACCCTGAGTGCAAGGCGCTGCCCGAGCCCAACCTGCTCCCAGGGCAGCTGTCACACGGGGCCGTGGGCGTCAAGGAGGGCCGCGTGCAGTGGATCTCCATGGCCTTCGAGTCGGTGAGCCCCTGATGGTCTCGACAGGCACAGTGCGGAGTACTTGCCTTATGTGTGTCACATCTGGTCCCCGGCTCTCATTCCAGATGGGTGGGGTTGCTCTTCAGGGGGGCAGACAAGGCCCAGAGAGGTGAAATTGCTTGTCCGCAGTCACCTGGTTAGTGAGCACCAGCATCGAATGCTAACCCAGCCACCTGACTAGGAGCATTGCCTTGCTGCCACGCAGGCTGCAAGCCAGCTCCCGCCAGCCTCCTCCCCGACCAGCACAGGGTTCAGGGGCAGGTGGGGGTGGGTCTGGTGAAAGTGCAGGACGCTCCCCTCCGCCGCCATCAGGGGCCAAGTCGTAGGCCACAGACCCCAGTGCTGGGCCTCCCCCAGGAGGGCCCGGAAGCCAAGAAACCAGCCATCCTACACGTCACTGCTTCCTCTCTCAACCCCAACACTCTCTGGGGCCCACACAAGGAGGCACACACTCGCACACCCCTGACCTGGGCATCTGCGGGCCTCACCTCCCTGGCACTTTGCTGTATGAGCCTGGCCAGGTCTGCCCCTGCTGGCTGCATATTAAGACCTGGGGTCCAGGGCTGCTCTGGTCCCGGTGTGCTCTGCGTCCTTGAGCCGATCACTCGTCCCCCTGGCCTCACGTTCCTCCCCTAAAGAATAGGGCAACAGATCCCTGCCCTCCCCCTGATGGTGATTAAGAAGCAACAGTGAGATGACGTGAGGTGCTGGAGAATGAGAGTGAAGGTGACAAGGGTACAGGTGGAGGCCGAGTCTTGCTCTCCGGCCCATCCCTGCTCTCCTTCCCACCACGTGGGCCACTCACTGCACAGGCAGCCGAACGTCCGCCACCAACAAAGAGGGCCCAGCGACCCTCCCAGCTCTGAATGAGCCCCAGGCTAATGCAGACATCAGTCCAAAGCCCAGGAAGATTTTTTTCTTTAATTGGGGTAAAATACACATAATAAAATTGACCATCTTAATGATTTTGAAGTGTACACTTCAATATTAAGTACATTCACGCTGTTGTGCAACCGTCACCACCGTCCATCTCTTAGCTTTTCATCTTCCCAAACTGAAACTCTGTCCCCATTAAACTCCCCGTTCCCCTCCCCCAACCCCTGGCAGCCGCCATTCTCCTCTCTGTCTCTGTGAATTGGACTCCTCTAGGTGCCTCCCTCATATGTGGAATCACACAGCATTGGTCTTTTTGTGTCTGGCTCATTTCACTTAGCGTGATGTCCTCCAGGTTCGTCCATGTTGTAGTGTGTGACAGGATTTCTTTCCCTTTTAAGTCTGAAGCCGCAGACAGTTTCAGACAGGAGAGAATTCCTGCTCAGGCTCCTCCACATGACAGGATGTCACTTCTAAGCCGACCCCCACCAACGCTCAGATACACATATGCATACAGACACACTGTAACTGGTTTGTGCTCGTGGAGAGCAGGATGAGTGCCTGTCTTGTCACCATCCCCTGAACAGCTCCTCACAGCTGGACACTGTGAACCAGACGGGCTGTTCCCTGCCCTCCTGGACTCAACAGTCCAGCCAGGAGATGAGCAGGTTGCCAGAGAGTGACAAGAACTGATTCCCAGGCCAGAGTTTGTGTCCCCTCCTGCTCAGGGGCATTTGGCCACATTGTCTGATCCTGAATCGGGCCACCTAAAAAGTAACAGGCTTCTTTCAATAGGTTTCTTGCACAGCCCACAGGATGCCCACCTTAGGGTATCAAGGTAGGCTTCCTGGAAGAGACAAAACCCTAGTGAGCCTTGAAGGATGAGCGGGCGCTGGCTTGCAGGCGGGGGGGTGGGGGGTGGGATGCAAGAGCAGCGCATGCTCGGAAGGTGGTTCTGTTAGAAAGGAACAGGGACTTTGGTTGCATTGGAACCTGCTGTTGCCGTAAGCATCAGATGTGAGCCCAGAGGCTGGCAGGAGGTCACCTTGCACTGGCTCATCCTTCACCCTCCTCCCCGCCGCCAAGATAAAACACTCCGTCTGCAGGTGTTCAGGGACTGGCTGCCTCTGCCCTCGAAGAGACCAGCCATAGCCTGGGAAGGGTGAGGGGGCCACAGCCACCTGCCCGTCTCACTGCTCATGTTCCCCGCAGACCACGTACAAGGGCAAGTCCTCCTTCCAGACCTACTCGGACTACCTGCGCTGGGAGGGCTTCCTGCAGCAGCAGCTGCAGACGTTCCCCGAGGGCTCGGCCCTGCGCCGAGGCTTCCAGACCTGTGAGCACTGGAAGCAGATCTTCATGGAGATTATAGGTGAGCAGCAGCCGTGCCCCTCAGCCCTGGGGTCCCGGTGGGGCAGATGGAGGCAATGGAGGACTGGGAGGTGACTGGATAGGGATGGCATGGCATGGTCTAAGCCACACTTGTCATCTTCTCAATTCTGGCCCAGAGCCCTGGAGAAACTGGAATGACCCAATGGCTGGGAACAGCCGTCAGCAGCCGGAGTTTGGGTCCCTGCCTGCTCAGGGGCATCTGGCCACATTCTCTGACCCTGAGTGTGGCCACCTACAAAGGCACAGTAATGACCATTATGGTAGCTCGATGTCATTAGGAGCCTGTCTCAGTGCCAGGCCCTGTGCTGAGGGCCTGACCTGTGTTCTCTCTTTAAACTCCAAATGAGGCCACGGGGTAGGTACTCCTATTACCCCATTTTACAGATAAAGAAGTTGAGGCTCAGAGAGGTCAAGTGGCTTTCCCAGAGTGACAGCTCGGTGTGACTGGGCCCATCTGTGTAACCCCAGTGACCTCTGAACCATGGGGATGAGGGGAGGTGGTGGGCACCCCGCCCGCACAGCCCAGCTGAGGACCCTCTCCTCTCACCTTGCAGGGGTGCAGAGTGCCCTGTACGGCCTGGCCCTCTCCTTGCTCATCTGTGTGGCTGCGGTGGCCGTGTTCACCACCCACGTGCTGCTCCTTCTGCCTGTGCTCCTGAGTATCTTGGGTATGTGTGTGGCCGAGGGCCAGCAACGGGCAGGGGTCCTGCTGGGGGTTTCTCTCGACCCTGAGTTTTCACATCTCAGTGAAGGCTTCCTGACTGCCCCCAACCCCAGCAGAGTGACCCTCTGCTCGGTGCTGTGTGGGTGGTGGTCGTTCATAGGACTGTGCCCCACAAGTCTGTGCTTCCCGAGACAAGCCAGGTAGTGCTGTGGCTAGCTTTCTGCCCAGTGACATGTTGCTGTACCCGCGCCCTGCCCTCCCCGCCAGCTCTCTGTGGCCCTGTTTTTCTTGCCACCAGAGGTAGGAGCTCCACTCTAGACTTTATCCCATTCCCCAGGGGCCCTCTGACTTTGCCCAGCACCCGTCCAAGGCTGTGTGGGGAGGGCCCGGTCCGAGCTGCCTTCCCGCCCTCCCCCACCCCTGCAGGCATCGTGTGCCTCGTCGTGACGATCATGTATTGGAGCGGCTGGGAGATGGGCGCTGTGGAAGCCATCTCCCTGTCCATCCTCGTCGGCTCCTCCGTGGATTACTGCGTCCACCTGGTCGAGGGCTACCTGCTGGCCGGAGAGAACCTGCCCCCCCACCAGGCCGAGGTGAGCGCCCTGCCTGCCCTTCCCCTCCCTGTGAATCCTCTTCCACCTCAGTGAAGCTGGGGGACCCCCAAGGACAGCTAGACACCCCCTGTGCCCGACCCCCAGCCAGGGTGTGTTTTAGGAGCTACGGTTTCCAGGGCCGATCTCCCAGGGGACTCAAATTCCAAGGCAGCGCCACCAAAGCAGTGCTGTGGGCCCCCAGCCTCCGCCTCCACAAGTGAGCATGAGGGGTTGCACCAGGTGATGTCCAAGGGCCCTTTCGGTTCCCTGAATGTGAGTTTTATTCTCCAGCCTGCAGAGCAGGGTTGGGCCCTTCATTCGTGACCCTGAAGCCACCCACTGGCCCTTTGTACCTTAGTGAGGACATGCCCATGACTCAGTGCCAAAACCAGCTCTGGGTCTCATAAAGTTTTGGTTTTTTCCTAGTTC